AAAATTCACATTTAATATAAAGTTATTGAGCGGTGTAACACTTAGTAAAAGTTACACCGGTGTCGTTTGAACCCTCCTCATATATATATATATTAAATGTGACTTTTACTAAGTATTACACCGCTCAATAACTTTATATTAAATGTGTATTTGGTAAATCCAATTGTTAGATTGAAAGTTCATATCTCTCATAGATTATATATACAAAACTTTATATTAATCCAAGATGATTTGATACTTCATTTTTATAAAACAAATTGATGTAATATATTCATTTCAAAATACACTAAAATATAAACACTTTGATTACCTTCGAGTTGTTGTTCAATTTTAACAAAATTTGATATACACTTATAAAGTGATATGAACTTTCAATTTAATGGTTAGATTTACAAAATTCACATTTAATATAAATTTATTAGGCGGCATGATACTTAGTAAAAGTTACAACGGTATAATTATAACCCCTATATTATATACATATATACAGGGACGGATGCACGTTTGGAATAGTAGGGCACTTGCCCCCACTACTATTTGACATATACATAATTTTTGACACATATATGCCTAGACTGGAATGGCCATTCCAAAAAAGGATTTTTAGGCATTTTTCATAACTTGGAACGGCCCTTTCCAGTTAAGATTTAAAACCCTTTTTTTAGGAGATTGGAATGGCCCGTTTCAATATTGGAACAGCCCGTTCCAATTCTAGAACGGCCCGTTCCAGCCTACAAGTTTTAGGCCTTTTAGGAGCCTCGAAACGGCCCGTTCCAACTCAAGAACGGCCCGTGCTGGACCTTGGGACGGCCTATTCTGATTTTGGAACGGCCCGTTCCGGGCCATTAAAAATAGTTAATTTGGGCTTTTGGGCCTTTCTAAAGTCCTATCTTGTTGTTGGCATGCTTCGAGAGCTCCTTCCCTTCATAACAGAGGTCCATGTCCTTGTTTGTATGCCCCCGGATGAAATTGGTGTCTACAACTGCCCCTCTTTACTTGTCCTTTGGAATAGTAATGTGTTGCTTTTCCAAAGGCAAGTAAAGACGTAGACATTTTGTTCGGGTCTTCTCTTCGTCTCTTTGGTGTTGGCGCTTCTGCGTTGTTTCCCTTAGATAGGTGTATTTGTTCGTATCCTCATCCTTTAGAGTAGTTGCGTACTCTATTGGGTAACAAGGCTGAAAAACTGTACACCTGATCTTCAGTCTTTGAGTAGAATCTCCATTATCTCTCTTGTGATAATGTGTTCCTTTATTTGTAGCTTCTTTCACTCTAAGGTTAGGTAACCCTCTTCAATCTTGTATTAGTTTTGGGGTTCTAGCAACCCTTTCACTAAGGTTAGGTAACCCACTTTGTACTAGTTTTTGGGATCTAGCAACCCTTTCACTAAGGTCAGGTAACCCACTTTTTCATTGAGGTAGTTTCGTAGCTCAGCCTTTCCAAGCTGGATTGATATTTTAAGTCTTCAGTCGGCCTCCTCTAAGGTCAGGTAACCCACTTTGTCGTTGAAGTAGTTTCGTAGCTCAGCCTCTCCAAGCTGGACTGATATTTTAAGGCTTCAGCCAGCCTCCTCTATGGTCAAGTAACCCTCTTTGTACTAGTTTTGGGGATCTAGCAACCCTTTCACTAAGGTCAGGTAACCCACTTTGTACTAGTTTTGGGGATCTAGCAACCCTTTCACTAAGGTCAGGTAACCCACTTTGTACTAGTTTTGGGGATCTAGCAACCCTTT